TACGTTACAGATCATGTGGTGATAGTGATTATAATCGATTCGTGACTATAGAGAGGTAAATTAACTAAGTTAAAGTCCGTTTCACACAATCGGGTTCTTATATAGAGGTGTGACTATATAGAGGTCCGACTGTATATAGTTAAACCCACCAGGTATTCAACAGGGATCAAGACTCAAATATTTTTATCCTGCTTCGTAGATGATCTAGCCAGATATATAAAATTGTTACATTTATTTTGGTGCTTGATGAAAAGTTCGATAAATTTCGTTTAAGATCTTAAGTCTTTATGATCTTCCGAATTTATGATAGATTGATTCTGTATAAGTAATGACCGCTCTTTCTTCATAAGATCAATAATAATTAAAAGCATGACCCACGACCTTTATATTTTGTCGAACTTTTCCCGGTTCGCTAAATATACTAGTAACGGTTTGCAGAGAAAGTGTGAAGGTTTTTTTTTATATGAGAAATTGGCCGTTGTACCTACCTACTGTTGTACAATTATTTCGGAAAGATTTTTTCGATGAATAGGTACTACGCATTTAACTTTTACGCCATCACCGTCATTGATAATCGTAGTCAAAGAATCGGCAAATTTGATCGCATCACGAAAATCTGGATCAGTGGATATTCACTGGGCATATGTGGGAAGGTTTGAGAACAAAAAAGGTTATGTTACAACGTGATTAGATAAATATGTTATTATTTTTCCGCTCCTGCCCTCGCATTTCCTTATAAAAAATCCGTGATGATCGAAGTAGAATCTGCTAAAGGTAAGTTGGTTAGCGTATATGTAAGAAATCGAATAGAACACTAATACTTATTCACAAACCGGCGATCCAAGAATCGAATTATTCGTCCATTTGAATCAACGTATTATTATCGCATCATGGAAATCCGGTCAATTGAGATTCCTATTTGCATATAAAAATAAAATAATCAATATGAGTTGTCGAAATTATTATTAAACCTCGTACTTGTCTTTTGGTAGAATAATGACCCATTATCCCAGAATTTCAACTAAAAGGCAAATTCGAACGTTGGATCGGCGAGAATCTGTAACAACATAACCCACAGCACCAAGATATTCTGGAAGTTTTTGAGAAAGAAGTAAATCACTACAGCTATTAGGAAGAGTATTTCATGTGATCGCAACGAATTTCGTCTCGGTTGATGGTGTATAAATTTTTTTTCCGAAGACCAAGACTTCAGAGGCTTGATTAACATAAATGACGTCCCAATAAACGGAAAAATTTTAAAAATCCACAGCCTAAATGAATTCAGAATTATTTTTTTTTTTTTTTGCGAATATACTTATAATAAATGAAAAGCAAGTTGTTAATATGTAATTACTTAAAGATAACTATCCCTTCGTCTGTAACATAGGCAAATTTGCCTGTATAAACATAGTAGTATGTGAAAGTCTACAGACGAATTTAACTTAATCTAGATTTGATTTCCAATTTTCAGCTACTGTATTACAAATGATCACGTTACACAAGGTCGATCAACCGCGCATAAAATCGCGATCGATCAAAATTATAGAAAACCTAAACAATCACTCTTCTTTTTCGCAACTTCTCAACATGGATCTTCATTTCGCACAATTTTACCACCAGAAAAAACTAATTAACAACGAAATCGAAGATTTAGAAATTCTTTCTCTTTATCAAAAACAACAAGGTAAGCAAACAAACAACACACGTTTTGGGAATGTTACTACAACACTCGGGTCATAAAAGACAGCAACGTGCAAGAAATTCAGTGTACCATATTTGCGACATCAATAACTTACGTTTTTATTTCTTTTTCGAGCGAACCTGATTAAATCACGCTATTTATTGAAGCTTAGCTCGTCCCACTTCAACTCTTTTTATTTTTTATTTTTTATCTTTTTTTTCGCTATCCGAAAATTTATTCTCATATCCTTGAAAATAACCCTTTCCTATCTTTTAAACTTTAACTAGAGAAATTTGTAAAAAATAAAAATCCCGTTAAAAGAGGTAACGCAGCAAATAAAGTTAAATACGAAATTATGGTTCGAGGTAGATTTATATGACCTGTTTATTGATTTTGTTAATTTCAGAAGAATGCTTTAAAATGGGTTTCTCTTGATTAGTTATATGTATATGTATACTCATCAAAAAACTTTTATTAATAATTATAATATCCCTCACAATATTAATAATTTACAGATGCTATTATCGCTTTGAAGGAACCTAATGGAAGCTTGTTAGAAAACCTTTCTAGAGTTTTTCATTTATTTCAAAGTCTTTATTAACGACGCGTTTTTTTCCTCTTCCTTTACTAATAAATTTCACATAATTTTTTCATTTATTAATAATAGACGTAAAGCTATTAAAGATTTCCTCATAAATACATACAAACTTCCCGACATGTCCTCTACGAACAAGCGTTTCCGAATGGCAATCAACAAAGGTATCGAGAAAGGCATTTTCTATCTTCCCGATGGTAAATACATATGATTTATTTCTTTTTTGTTATATTTTTATATTTTTAATGTGATTTATTAAATTATCCCTTTTTTTTAGGCCCAAAAGGTCCTGTCAAACTTACAAATGAGCATAAGATTAAGAAAGAAGAACCTGATAATGATGAATTACTTGTCTCTTTGTCCAATGGTAATTACATATGATTTTATTTCTTTCTCGTTAGATTTGTCATGTTTACATAAATTCCGTGATTCATTACATCGTTCTATTTTAGGCCAACGTGGTGCTATCTAACTTATAAGGAAGAACGAAATGTAAGAACCCGAGAAATTGAAAGAAGTATAGAATAGCATTAATAAACTTATATCAATATGTTTTTTGTAAAAAGATTTAGTATATATAAATATATGATTAATATTCTGTAACAGCCTTATCTAAGTTTTCTTAATTGATATATTTTTAAATCTTTATAAATATTTACAAATCTTTTTAATAATATATTAATTAAATTACATTTTATATTTACTTTATAATAATAAAAAAAAGTCATTTTCTTATTATCTTTATAGTATTAATAAATGATTTCTTTTATCTTTAAAGCAATTTGTTTTTTTTTTCAACTTAATATAATTTATTTATCATATTCAAATTATTCAAATTTAAAATAAATTTTATTAATTAATTAATACCATTATTTATTAATAATTATTTAATTTATTATTAAATTTAATTTTTAAAAAAGGAAAATTAATAAAACTAAATAATTTACTTTATGATATCTTAAAGATAAAAAATATAGATAATAAATAATAAATAATTTTAAAATATAATATATAATTAAATTAATAAAACTAAAATTATTATTATAAAAAAATACTTTAATTATTTTTATAATAAAATTACTAAAAAAGTTAAATTATAATTAATCTATTAATAATAACTTTATTTTTTTTTTTAAATTAATTTTATAATATTTTTTTTAAGTAAAAATAAACAAAATTGATAATTAAATATTAATAATCATTTTAAAAATAATAAAATATTATTTTTTTTATACATAGATCAAAATCTGCATTTCTTTAAATTTAAAAAAAATAAATATTATAAAAAAATCAAAATACAAAAATATCATAAATTTATATCTATTATTAATTTTTTAAAAACAGATATTTCTACAACTATGAATAATATCAAGTGAAAAATATCAGATAATAAAATCATGTTGAATTAATCAACAGAATATTATATCAAAAAGATTAAATTAATTTGAATTATTTATTAAATTTATAAATTTATTTGATCTATTATATTTATCTTATTTTTAAATATTACAAATATTTATAATTCTTATTATAATAAGTAATTTTTTTTATTACTATTTTATTTATTTATTTTATTATTATATTTATTTAAAGTCTAACAAATTGAAATTAAACAAAAATTCCTTATTACAGTATACTTATTTATTTATCTGATAACTTTCTATCTTAGATTCTATATAGGATCATCACTTTCTTCATAATTTTATTCAGATAATGTCTTATATTATCTCTAATAAAGAGTTAGTTAAACATTACTTTTTTATTGTAAAAGTTAGTAATCTTTTACCTGATATAACTAACTTTTTTATCATACAAATACTCAAAACCTTTAATATGAAATATTGGTAAATTTCTATCAGTAAATTCAAAATTCAAATTTAAAAGTTAACTACATGTTTGTGTACTTTAAATCACAGATTAATCTAAATCATTTTATAAAACAAAATCTTTCATTTAAAATCAACCTTTATATATTATACTATCTGATAATAAAACTTACTCAATTTGCTTAAATCCATTTTAAAAGATCTTATAATTAAGTTAAAGAGTGATCTAACCTTAAAAACATAAAATTAAACTAACACTTTATCTGACATTAAAAATTCTCTTTTAGATATTAAAGATAAATTAGAATCCAAACTTTTACCTTCAACTAAATACCTTCTTCAGATTCTTCTTCCTTTACATAGGATATAATACTTATTCTTAGTATTTTATATAAAATGTAATATCTTATAAAAGAAATGTTTAACTATTTCAAAAAATATATTAATAAAGGATTTTCTTATATCACTAAAATAGTAGACACTATTCTTCCTTTAAATTTAGACAGCAAATATGACAAACTAGTAAAATAAATTCTTTTCAGTTAACTGAAATACCTTCTTCAAATTTTTATAGTCTTTTACAATCATTTTCATTAATCAGCCAAAAAAGTTCATTACCAATACTCTTGCAGCTATCCTGTAACTACTACTCTTATAAAAATAAAAAGATTTTTGATTTTTTTACATTTTTCATTTCAGTTGATTAAATAATCAGAAACTTTTCTTTTATAGAACTATTTTAAGTATAAAATTTCTTTTTAAAATAACATAAAATTTTAATTTTAATTTTATTTTATTCTATTTACTAATCTTGAAAAATGATATTCTTAGCTTAGGTTGAATTTTGATTTTAAAAGATACATGATTAATTAGTTTTAAAATAGTTAATATAAAATTATGTAATTACTGTAAATATTTTTGTTTTATATAATTTATTTTATATAAAATTATTATTATTTTTGATAAAATTTTGAGATCTACTGCATCTTAAAAAAAAACATGTAATAGGATTATGGGATTAGTGTTTCTAGATTAGTTAGTAATAATTGAATACTTATTATGAATTATACTATAATAACTACAAGTTCAAATTTTAGCTGAAGCATAAAACTAAATGATTTTCATAAGAATTTTATATGTAACTGAATATGTAAATATATATACTAATATGTATTAATAACTAGTTGATAGATCAATTAATTGATATTGATCATGTTTAAATACTAGATTTTGAAGAATAAGTAAATATAAATAAAATCAAAGATTAATAGAAACTTAGTTTTCACTAATAAGTCTATAATAGATACTATCTCATATCTTTAAACTCAAAGGTCTTTATATAAGTAAGAAAGTAGTTAACTAGTAATTAGTAAATTAGGTATTATCTTTAGATGACTATAATGATAATAGATTGTATTACAATATTGCAATACCATTTAATAGAGTTATTATTAAAAGAGATCAAGTTTAATTTTTGGATAAATTTGATAATATGGATATAATAGCTACCTACCTTTCTAAGATTCTATAAGAATGATAACATTTAAGTCTTCTCAATTATATATAATATACTTTGATACTAGGCAAAGTAATAATAATTCTAATTAATATTAGTAAGTACAAGAAAAAAATGTCATAAGTACTTATGACTGAAAGCAATTTTTCTATTCAAATTTGACAATAGTTTTAAGATTTTAGATACTTTAGAATAGTATAGTAAACTTAATTCTGATTGATTAATCTTTAAAATGATTAATATATATTAAATTCATATAAAAAATAACTATCTAATTTTAAATAGATTTGCAGCTATAAGAATCAATTCACAAGAATTACAATAAAAATTTTTGTAAAACATTTATTTCATTTTATTATATATTAAAATAATTTAAGAAATATTTTGATAATTCAAAAGTTAGCTAAGAATATGTCTTTTCTATTTTGTTATTTTATTGTAAATAATCAATTTTATTAAATAAATTCATGCAAAATATCTATACAGAAAGTTTATAAAAAAAAATTATCGCAAATAAAAAGGAAAAAGAAAGGCTTAATATTATAATTTAAAGAATCAAGATGATATTATCTGCAATTATGAAAAATATAATGCATTTATTGTATTTGAGTTAACATTTTAATTTAGTTGGCAAGACTTTATGCTGAAAGTATTATAATAAATTAATAAATTAATAGTAAATGCTAAAAAATTAAAACCTAACTTATGTTTCATTTAAAATATGATTTATATATATCTACAATTAAAAACAGTAAGGAAAAAAAATAAAAAAGGCCTCAGAACAATTAATTAAATTTTTTAACCTATCAACAGAGACAAATATATATCATCACTATTTATATAAAACTGATAAAGATTCAGAATATAAAGATATTTCTAATTATCTACTAGTAAATAAGAGGATTTTAGAAAAAATTTAAGATAATTTAAAGGTAGATCATATGTTTTACGCAATGATATTATTTATTCTAAAGTCTAATTTTAGGAATTAGAAGTCATATATAACAATATATATGTAGAGCTTGATGAAGCAGAGCTAGGTAAGTAAATAGTCAAATTCTTATTTATAACTATATTCCAGACTACTTCTTAATATATTTTAGAATTAATCTTTTTGGAAAAGAGCAAAAGTATTATATACAAGACAATGTGTATATAATGAATGACCTATTTTAGATTCTAACAAGTTAAAGAAAATACTTGAGAAAGTCAAACTATTATTAAAAGGATTTTTTAATCAATTAATAGTTAAAATAAACTTATAAACTAAGAATTATATGACTAACAAAAAACATAAAAAATATTGGTTTCCTTTTATTATTTTCTAGCAAGACTCAACAATAAATTTATTAATAGGATTAAAGTAAAGTTGGATTTATACTAGATATATCTAGAATATCTTTATTAATAATAAAAATATTAACTAATATAAGTTTAACAATAAGACATATAATTATTAAAGACAAAAATCTTAGCATTTAGAATCACATACAATAACAGTAGTAAGGTTTTTATAGATAATGTATGTATAAAAATATTTATTTTCATAAATTTTTGTATTTATAATTAATTAAATTAACTTTTATCTTTTAATAGAATGAAAATTTGATTATTCTCAATAGAAATCAAAACTGATTATCAATATCAAATTTATAATCAGTTTTTATCATATCAGATTAAAACTAGTTTAGATTTCTGTAAAATTGATAACTAATTATATTTATGATTGATAAGCAGTTTTATATCAGTTTATAATATAAGAATATAGATGATAGTATATTCTGTCATTTTTATTTGAAAATTAACCACATACATATATTATTATACATTATTGTAAATATTTATTTTAATTTTATAATAAATACTATAAAAGTAAGGGTAAGTAACCTGCAGATAGAAAAAATTTAAAAAAAATTTAGTAAATTATTATTCTCTTCAATATGTAATGAAAAAAAGTATCTAATTCTAATAATTCTATAAGGTTTATTAGTAGTTTAAGTATTAAATCCTCATTTAAAATTAATTAATTTATTTTTTAATATTGATAAATCTATATTTTCAAAGATAATCTCAAAGTTTATTATTTATTATTTCAATAAAAAAAATGTTATCTTTATCAGTTTTAGATAC